AAACTTCTCAATTGTATCCCTTTGTGATAGATGATACCTATATGTTCTGATATTGTAGACACCTACTTTTGGCCTCTTGTTCCGAAAGGAAGTGCAATGATGTTACAAAAATCCGTTCTTCATGTTAGATCAAAGTTGAAGTGTTTATAGACTATGAAAAGCATTATGAAGTAAGTTAAAACCCATATTTGAGACCAAGTTATCTTAGAGCCTTTTTCTATTACTTAAAAGGCCTAAAACGTGTTCATACATGTTTAAACTTGATTAATAACGGACCCAAATGCGTTAAAAGCAATGATTGGATCCCATGGAACCTATATTGTTGAAAAACCGAGCCAAACAGATAAACCAAGCATCGAATTCCCATTCAAGGACTATACAGATGGAAAGCCCTTTCAAAGAGCTTTCCAACAATATATTATAAGCCCAATTTCAAGCCAAAACGAAGAAGTTATGATCAAAACACTAAACCGGGCCCTAAAACCAACACCCTTGCACTCCAACGGCCATAACTTTTTATACCTAACATATTTTAACCTAATTCTAACGGAATTGAAAAGTAGACATTCAGAGATTTCCAATGATATCTCAGCTCTTTAATCTGATTCCGCAATCAAAAGTTATTGAAGTTTTAAAAATGCGTTTTCGTATAGGGCAAACCGCAAACCAGCGCAACTCAATCAGTTGCGCGCGACTCATTGAGATGCACGCGGCACCCAGCGCGACTCAGAGAGTTGCGCGCACCACCTGACGGTGCGCCTTTGAAACCCTAAACCTAGATCCCTACGCCTACAAATAGGGGTCTTCGTTTAGCATTACGAGGACCGGAAAAATATCATAATTAAAACCCTAGTATTCTCAAAACCCTAATCTCTCAACTTCTCTTACTATCATACTACTTTTTTCTTCTCTCTTCCCAAATACTTTCAAGCCCTAATTGATTCCATTGAAATTCTTGAAGGTATGAAGAAGAAAGAAAGTCCATAAACACATCAAAACGGAGATTTAACATAAAAGAAGAACAGTTAGTTTCCTGGGCACTTAGATAAATCACTTTTCTTTTATTGTTTAAATAACTTTAATTGATTAATTAGTGTTGTTTGATCACTTTAAACATACTATTAATTAATTAATTCACATAGTACTCTTTTGTTAATCAAGACTAGAATTTGAATAATTAATTGTTGTTTTATTACTTAAGACAAGGCGAATCTTGTTTATTTATTGTTCTTTCACGAATATTATTAAATAAGAATAACGACTTTTGCAATGTAATTCCTATGTGAATAATTCTTGTAAATAAAATCAACTAACATAGTTTTAGGTATCACGTTGCGTATATTGTTTGGTAATGAAATTGTGAAAAAGGAAGAGCTAGTAGAGGTCGTACTAGGGCTAGAATAGTGATTCCTCCCTAAAAGGAACGTTATTTTAGTACCCTCGCTCCCGAACTCATTTCTGGTTTATGTAGACCAATTTGGGCATGGGTAAACTTATGATTCATGCTAATTATTTCATAAACTCCAAATGGAAGAAAGGCATGAACGAGGTTTATGAGTTTTCCTAAAACTCATTGGCGACTCCTACTTGTTTCTTACAAAAAAGTGTGATGAGAATATCATTTCTAATTCAAGGTCTCCCAAACAGTCACGAATTCAAATCCTACTACACCCTAACAAGTGTAAAGTCCTAGGATTTTAAATGGCCATGGGCATTTAAGGAGAGACCCCTTACGATGGGAACCCCCTCCTTACAGATACTAACTGGATTTGCCCTAAATCCAAAGGTATTCTTTGATAAAAAAATACCTCTATTTGGAGGTAAATCCTTAGGTTCCTCAAATATTATCTTAAACTCTTGCAGCAGGGTGCTGACACTGTTGGGCACTTTTGTTACTTCAGTCTTAAGATAGAACATGTCAGCATCAGATTCTTCAGGTATAAACTTTAAGAAATACAGTTGACCAGTCTAATTAAAAACCTTGTCAGCTCTGTAACCAAATGTTGCTACAGTTTTCTTAGGTTTTTCTCCTTGCAACACATAGTGTTTTCCCATAAAGTTAAACTCCATGAGTAACTTCTTAAAATCCCAACTTATTATCCTAAGCATACAAAGCCACTGAATTCCCAAAACCATATCACAACTTCGCAAAGAATTAGTAACACATAAGAAACAAATTCAGTGCCCTATAGAGACCATTTGAATCCATTAAAGACATTCTGACAGGCTTGATTGCCATCAGCAACAGTGACTACCTGAGGAGAAATACTGTCAATCTTACACCCTAATCTCTTAGCAACACCAATATCCAAGAAATTGCGGGTGCTCCCAGAATCAATCAAAACATGAAAATGACTCTTATCACAAACACCAGTTACTCTCAGAGTTTGAAAACTAGGATTGTCACTCAAAGTATTGATAGAAATTTGAGGGTCTATGCATTCCATTGTAGAATCCAAGTCTTGCTCAGATTATACTACCCCCTCCTTCTCACATTCATCTTCCCCAGGTATTTCCACTATGAACAATTGAGTTTGCGTAAGACATTTATGATTTCTTTCATAGGGTTGATCACAGAAATAGCACAACCCTTTAAGTTGTTTTTCCCTTCTCTCAAATGTAGTAAGGATAATTTGGGGTTTCTGAAAGGGTTTAGAAGATTGGTATGGGACTAAAGCACTAGAATTAGAAGAGGTAGTGCTGAGCTTATAACTAGACCCAGAATTAGAAACAACATTTTTAGAACTGAAAGAAGTATATGATTTACCCATATTCTTACCTACCTCTAAACTCTCTTCTTGCAATCTACCGAACTCAACAGCTTCTGCTAGAGATTGAGGCCTAAAAGCCTTGATAAAGGGTTTAACAACAGGTTTCAATCCCCCAATAAAACTTGCAAGAAAGTATGAATCAGGCAAGCCGTGATTTTGTTGTAACATCAGAGATTTAAACTCTTCAAAACCATCAACATAAGACTCAATTGTACCCATTTGCTGCAACTTATTAAAATTCTCTACTGCATTATTAGATTTTTATAATCCTTAAATCTAACAGCCAAATCAACAACAAAATCTGTCCAATCAACATTACTTCTTCTTGCCAAATAACTAGCTACCCACACCTTAGCTTTATCAATCATATTTAAACTATCAAGATCAACCTTCTATTCATCACTAATCTTACATAGTTGAAAATATTTGTTGCATTTCCTAATCCACAATCTATAATTCTTGCCATCAAATTTAGGAAACTCAAGTTTAGGAACATACCCAAGAGTCCTGGTTGGATTGCCCTAATTAGTAGATTTTACAATCGTAACAGGAGTAGTTGGATTAGATTTCTGCCCAACTTCATCCAATTTTGTGCTCAATTCATGCATCATCTTCAACACGCGATCTTAAAAAATAGAGCTAATTTTCTACTGCTCACCCATCTCAATTCAAGATCCTTCACTTTCTGCTCAATAGACACCATCCTCTCGACAGATATTGGTGCCAGGATTACTCCAAAGAACTTCAAGAAACAAGAATTTCAGCGAAAAATCAAAGTTAATCGATCTGGGTATTGCAATCGATTTGGGTATTTTCAAAAATTCTGAATTCTTGAAATGGGTTTGCTCTTATACCAATGTAACTGTACATAGTTGTGTACTAGAATCTCGAGCTATATCACTAACAACTAATGATTTCAATGGAGAAACTCCATTGATGAACTAAGAAGAATACAGAGATTTTCAGAAGGAAAGAAGAGAGAGAACCTTTTGGGACTTTATTTCAAAAATTGAATGAATGTCACTTTACATTGATTAAATGTATTTATACTTTGAAAATCAACTAACTTAGTTTTAGGTATCACGTTGTATATATTGAATGAACAATATTATATAATGTGATACCTAAAACAAAGTTAGGCCCTGCTCTTTTGAGCTTCTGGGCAGAGCAGAGCAGATTTCAGCAGAGCAAATCCGAGCCGAGTAGAGCAGAGCATATTTCATGATTATTATGATTATTACCTACTACTACAGAGCAGATTGAAGCAGAGTATAGCAGATTTTAGCAAAGTAGAGTAGAGCAAAGCAGATTTCAGCACAGCAGAGCAGAGCAGAGCAAAGCAGCTCTAAAGAACGGGGCCTTAGTTGATTTTATTTACAAGCATTAATCACGTAGGAATTACATTGCAAAGTCGTTATTCTTTATTTAATTTAAATTTGTAAAAGGAGAAAAAATAAACAAGATTCGCCTTGGCTCAGGTGATCAATCAATCAATTAATTATTCAATTCTAATCTTATTTAACAGAAGATACTATGTGGAATCGTTTAATTAAATGTCCTTTTAAAGTGATCGAACAACACTATTTTAACGATTAACGTTCTTTTAAACAGGAAAAGTAAATGTGATTTATCTAAGTGCTCAGGAATTTACCACTTCTCTTTGCTAGATCTCTGTTTAGAACACTTATGGACTCTTTTTTGTTTGGGAACCTCCACCTTAGTAACAAAGATTAAGAGGGATGAGTGTTTAGGACAATAGGGTTTGGAATCACAAGCTCACAATTGTTTCTACCAAGATTTTAGGTTCATTTCTGTTTGTTTTAGCCTCTTATTAAGCCCCTATTTATAGGGAATAGGTGCAATCACTACTACAAAAATAGGCTAAGAGACCCGTTAAAACATGCCTTAGAGACCCATTTATGACGGGTCTCTATCTCAGAGGTCTCTTTGTTAAAGAGACTCCTCATTGTGAGGGGTCTGTTTTTAAAAACAAATAGACCCGTTAATAGAGATAAGGGGTCTGTTTGGATTGGTGTATGATTGATGCACTTTTAAGGGAAAGGGACCAGTTATTTGCAATAGGGGGTCTCTTTAAGGGGTGTCAAATAATAAACCACATTTATTAAATAACAGGTCTGTTTGATCCTTTTTTTTAATATATATATATATATATTTAAAATTTTTTACGCTAAAGTAAAATAGTTGACTTTTTTTTTTGGCAAATTACGAAATTACAATTTAACATCAATAATATTTCTTTTAAATAACAACATTAGTATTATACAACATTTACAAAGAGAAATAAAGAAAAAAAAAATACAACATTTACAAAGCTACAGATCCAAATTTACAAGTATATAATTACAAAACGAAAAAATTAAAACTCTTTAGTTCAACAAGTTATACAAACACAATTCCTAAACATATTCAATTGATATTATTCTTTCAACCCCACGCACCAAAGTATTGCAGTCAACAAATTTGCAAATCATAATTATGTCTTCCTTCCCGTATTTGAAAATTTCGTCCACTATCTCCATCTAATTCATATACTGCAATAATCAAGAACAACCCAAACTAAAAAATCAAAATACCAGCCATAAGAAGAAATTGGACATAAACATTGAGAATAAACTAAAATAGAAATTAATCATTAATTAAAAAAAATAAATAGTCCAAGTTTATGAATATGAAATCCCAAAAATCAAAATCAAGAAAACTCAAATCCAAACCCAAACAGATAGATCTAAGAAATATAAATTGTTATCCACCCCAATTACCAAATACCTTCATTTCTTTGAACAAATCTCAGCTGCTATTGAATAAGCGTAAGGAGATGCCGTCATTTCTCGACCGTGACTCTGAGGGAGGTACAAACAAAACAAAAAAAAAAAACCCAGAAACCTCCATCCTAACCGACATCAAGGCCACATAAAAACAGCGAACAAGATGACCACGCACGATTTCATGGTTGAATTATGCAATTTCACAAACAAAAAAGAAGAAGACCATAGACATCATTGTTGAATTTCAACATACCATCTAAGAGACGGAGTAAAAATCACGAATGAGAGAGAAAACTATATACCTTAGAGCATGATTTTTTTAAGGAGATGGTAAGAGTCGCTTCAACATTTTTAGGAAATTTTTATAGCTTTAATAGAGAATTTAAATGGAAGATAGTCGGCGGATGGAAGAGAAGATCGATGAGGATTTAAATTTGGGGATTGAGGTTAGGGTTTTGAGGAGAGAGAATGTAAAATTAAGAGAGCATGCATTAAAGGACGAAGGAAGAGACCCGTGAAATTTAACAACGGGTTTCATATCCTTTCATCTTTTGTTCTTCAATCAAGTGTGTGGACCCTAGTACACCTAAAAGACCCGTTGAGTGCATAATTAGGTCTTTTATATCTCATATATTATTAAGTAGTGGGCCCTAGGATATATAAGAGATCCGTTATATTAAATATTGGATCTCTTACATCAAACAGACCCGTTTATTAAATAACGGGTCTTTAATAAGCGGTATGTTTTCCAATTTTTGTAGTAGTGAACTAGGGTTTTAAACATTCTTCTGCATCTTCATGAATTGTGCGCGCATCCCAGCGCAAGTGATTTTTTTGCGTTGCTAAGGGCAGCGCAATTGAATGTATTGTGCGTAGTTTTATGATAAGATTCGATTCCATATTTTTATAAAATTCTTAATCTTTTGCGAGCGCATCTTTCGAAGTTGCACCGGGTGTTGCGTGCAACTAAATTAGTTGTGCGCGCCAGACCAGAGCGACTCAATGAAATGCACACGGATTTTTCTACGGCACGGGATTAAACCTAATTATGATCGGGTTTAGCAAATAAGATCTTGTTTTGTATTTGTTTTGGGTAAGGTAGTCTTTTTGTGTTTTTGTGGTTTATCTAGTCATCCATAAGCATTTTTCACTTCGATCCAACACGAAGATGGTTTTATTTATCGTCATTGCACTTCCTGTCGGGACAGTAGGCCAAAAGTAGATATCTAGAGTTAGCCCCCACTTTGATCGAGTCTAGGATAGACGAGGATCAATGTAGCCTAGGAAATAAATCCAAGACTTATTTTGCGGAGTTCTCAAAGAATGGAGAATCTTTTCAAAAGTGTTAAGGATGTCGAAACGATCCTTGATTCGCTAAGTGTTTGAAACAAGTAGCTATAAAGGCTAGAAAAAGTATTTTCTATGTCTTAACGTGCTAAAGAATCTAGATTGATCCTTTGAAATTGTAGAACGCTTTTACAAGTAAAGGCGTTCTAGGTGATGTCATGTCTTGAGAAGAGATCGGTTTAAAAAGGATTAAATAGGGGATGATTTCCTCCCAATCATGTCATCGTTTCTCTAAAGTCCCTTGATATGTCATTGAAACTTTAGCCTGATTTTAATAGTTTAAAAAGATAATAAAAATAATTTTCGGCTTTCGCAGCCGTCCGGCTTTTGCAACCTTTAGGAATTCACATCCTTTAAGCTTTCGCAGCCTAAACATTTTGGCTTTAGCGACCAGAATAGAGTTCTTGACAATTAGCTTGTCAAAATGCAATACTCGATGTCCACAAGATAGAAATACATGTCTCAGGAGGCATATTCCAAATCAAGTGAATGAGAAAAAAATTGGCAACTCTCTCAGTTGTTTTGTCCACAAGATGAGTACACGTGTCTCAAGACTGGGGGCATGTGTCTACATAGGTGCGACATTGTCTCGTCGCTCTTTATACAGGGGGTGGACAACACCTTAACAGTCTAGTAAGCTAGTAAGCGCACTAACTACCGTATTTACTTCCAATAAAAAAATGTTTGTTTCTGAATGGTTCGGCGTGCCTGTCAACTCGTGAGATAACACCTAAAGTAAAGTAATTCTCTATCTTTTCGTTCCGAGAGGTAGATCTCGCAAAGCTTGGGGAAGAAGTGAAATTTTACGCAATACCTACGCCATACAATTTTACGTTGTATGATACGCCTTGCATTTTAACGCTGCTTGGTGACGCCTTCCTTTTTTCCGTGGACATGAAAAAAGAAGAAAATCCGGACATTTATAACGTCAGTATAGTAAAATGACGAACCTGTCTATGGGAGCTTTTATGTAAAGCACCACTACAGAACGTCTTAAGACACTTTTACGAGAAAGGTTCAAAATGTATGCTTATGGAAGGTACAAAGAATGGTGTGCATGCCAAATGATGCAAAAATATATCAAAGAAGAAAAAAAAAACTACAAAATGCAAAGCAATTTAAAAAGATTTTGATAATTTGAACGACATTACGTTTAATAACGAACAAAAACTGTTGGAAAATAATATAAAAGATGAAAATCTGGATTCCGGTCATTTTAGTGACCAGTATCCGCGCACAACTTAGTTGGTCGCATTGGCCAGGTGCCCGCATCGTTCTGTTTTGCGTAAGTCTGTCACGCGCAACTAATTCACTTGGTCGCGACATTTAAGTCAGCAAAAAGAAATCGCTGAGCGATTTTCATTTCACTTTCTTCTTCTTCTTCTTCTTCTTCATTCGCCATTTTTGTCCCTTTTTCTCTCTAAAAAGCTCGGTTCTTTGCGATTTTCAAGGCCAAAGGAAGTTGATCTCACCCTTAATTCTCATTTGCAACAATCCAATGTAAGTATTTTGTTTAAAATCGTTCGTTTTTGGCGAAATTTGGGCGTTTTTCGAATCATTAAACCCCAATTTTCGAATTTGGGGTTTTTTTTATTTGGGCCATTATTCTTGAAAATGTTTATTCCATGTTATTATGCTATGTTTAAGGAGTGTTTTGCAACAAATTTCATGAAAAATGGCTAAGTATTGAACCTTGTATGAGCATTTCTTCGTTTTAGTACCTTTTTTTTCAATTTCCTTCGAATTTGGTTTGTTTCTTGTTATTTTGCTTGCTCATTTTGGCTATAATTATTGATTATGAAGTAATTATAGTATTAGAACTAGTTATATCTTGATAAACAATGTTTTGAAAATTTTGAATCGAAAATTGGCGCGAAGTGTATAATTAGCTTATTTTTGCCATGTTCGAACTTCAAGATTGTTTGGTAGACGATAATTGCACCATTGTTACTATTTTTCGCCTAGGAATAGTGTATTCTTTGAGATTTTCAAATTTAATCCCTTGAATCTTAGTTGAAACTTGTATAGGATGGTTTTTATGGGAATTTGAAAACCCCATTACTGAGTTTAATTGCAGGTATCGTAGCCCCCTAGCATGGGTGGCATTCGATATTTGTGTTTTACCCTTTCGGTAGGCGTTATGCTGCCGAAATGGGTCCAAACATGTACATTAGCTTAGTTTAGAATAAACTAATAAAGAAACTTTGTCCATTCATAGCATGGACTCGCCTCCATTTGTTTATGCTAAATAGGTTCTAGGAGATCCCGTTCCTGACGAGGCGGTTCGCCCACAAAAGAGGGTGACCCGTCTTCGAGAGGAGGTTTGGGAGCGATGCGTCAGAGCTGATCGTCGTCGCCAGGAGGATGTGGTTTGGGAGGCTCCTCCCAACTGGGATCCAAGGGTCCTTAAGTGGGACCCAGACCATCACGTCTCGATCATGGGTTGACACAACATCGTGAGTATTTTGCGCCCCTTTTTTATTTTTATTGTTTTCTTTAAAAACAAGTTTTTTTACTGTCTTTTGTGCCTTTCCTTTTTCAGAGTGAGCCCAGCATGCGCCTATACGGCTCTGGTGATCTACGAGGTCGTTTTGAGAGTTTGCCCGAGGTGGCAAAGGAGGTTATGGAGCTTTCGGGGATTAGCTCCCATCAGGCGGCTCTTCGGGATTTATGGAGTCAGCCTGCGTCGTCGGCTTTCCTTCGTGGATTGTTGGAGTTTTGGTGGGATTCCACCAACACTTTCAACTTTCCATGGGGAGAGATGACGGTTACCCTTACGATTTCTCTATGATTACTGGTTTTCCTTTCAAATGTTAGCCCGTAATTATAGAGGTCGTTAACAGGTCAGACGAGAGACTACGTGACCTTGTGGGGGATCGTCTTGCGGAGGCCCTTCACATGTATGCGCAGTCTTGTTCGTACTCGATTCTTGCCGATGAGTTGTCGGCTGACGAGGTTGATAAGCAATGTACAACTGAGTAGCTGGCTCAGATATACATTGCTCACGTTCTTTTCGTCACTATCTTGAGTGATCGGGGAGAGCGTTTAGCCATTGGGTTACTTATCTGCCTCAGTGATTTGGGGCATGTAGGTAACTTGAGTTGGGCGGAGGTGTCGTATGCCCGTATGCTTATAGCTATGGGCAAGGCGACCCGGGTGATGGATTCCGCGGCAGCTACTTAGGTGCCTCAGATCTCCCTTTCATGGCATGGTCGTATCCTTGAGGTGTGCACTTATCCTTTTTTCTTGTAATTGCCATTTTTGTTTTCTTTTTTTTTTTATTATTTTTTGCTTCTTTATAGGATTGAGGTGCCCACGATGCCTGCGCTTCTCATTTTCTTATCGCCCATCGACAGTTCATGATTAAGAAGAGACGAGCTACTTCACCCGGCGACTTTCGCTAGAGGATCTTTTCGGCGACTCGTGCGCCGGTGAGTATTTCAACCACATGTGCATCTTTTGATTTTTTTTTTGTTTATTTCCTAATGATTTTTCATGTGGACGTGTAAATAGATCGATCTCCGTCCTTGGAGTTTGATCGTCAGAGTTCCTGAGGCTGTCCGGTCTGGCATGATTCGTTGCCTTTTCCAGGCCCTTTATCAGGGACTTGAAATCCTTTTGAGAACAGACGCTTGGTTTTTATGCGAGCGTCTTCTCTAGCAGTCTTCGTCCGAGGAGCCTTGGGGTCCTGCGGATCCTTCGATCCGGATGTTGCATCAATACTTGATGTCTATCGAGGATCCAACTTAAGCGATCCTCGGTTATTCAGCGGAGCAGCTGGTGCTGTCGAATGCATCTTACCAGGCTTTCATCGCATCCAGGCTGACTCCATTCCCAGCTTTTGTCCGGTTAGTATTTTACCATATGTTTATATATTTTTCTTTTTTTTTGGAACCTTGACTCTCTTATTGTGTTTTCAACGAGTCGAGCTAGGTGGTTGGGTGCCTCTCACGGCGGAGGTCACGTATACCGATGCTTTTGAATTGGAAATTCGCGAGATTCTCCTAGCAGTAGAGGAGGAGGAGGACATACCGTATATTCCTGAAACGGTTGAGTCGGTATGTTTATTTTGTATATGTATTTGTTTACATTTTTTTTCATATACGTTTGTTTGCTAACTATCCTTGTATTTGGAACAATTACCGCGAGAGACCATGAACGGCATGGTGAGGACTATACGTGCTTTTCGAGCTACTTATCGGAGAGCCCTCGTGACTTTATCATGCCGTGATCATCGCACTAGTAGAGAAAATAAAAAAGGCACCCCTTAATTGCCACCGGTTCAGTCCAAAGCGG